ATACTCAAAAAAGCAATAGCATTCCTATACACTAACAACAAGATCACAGAGAGAGAAACAAGGGAAGCCACACACTTCACACTAGCAATCAAAAAAATGAAATATTTAGGAGTTACTCTCATGAAAGAAGTGAAAGACCTATACAAGGAAAATTACAATACGCTGAAAAAAGAAATTAAAGAGGATCTCAGAAAGGCGAAAGACATCCCTTGCTCATTGATAGGAAGAATAAATATTGTGAAAATGACCATTCTCCCAAAACTTTTATACAGATTCAATGCAATCCCAATAAAAATACCATCAATATACCTCATAGATCTAGAGAAATCAAACCTAAAATTCATCTGGAGTGAAAAGAGACCTAGATTAGGAAAAACAGTTCTAAGCAGCAAAGGCAAGGCAGGAGGCATCACAATGCCTGACTTGAAGTTATACTACAAAGCGATGGTAGTAAAATCAACATGGAACTGGAATCAAAACAGAGCTGAAGATCAATGGAATAGATTAGAAAATTCAACCACAATTACAAACACACTCAACCACCTTTATCTTTGATAAAGTGGCCAAACATGTTCCTGGAAGAACAACAGTCTCTTTAATAAATAGTGTTGGAAAACTGGCTATCCATAAGCCGAAAACTAAAACTATATCCATGCCCATCACCATATACTAAATTAAAATCTAAATGGATCAAAGATTTGAATATTAAAACAGAAACATTAAATCTTTTGGAAGACAAATTGGGTAAAAACCTTGAAGACATAGAGGTAGCTAGAGAATTCATGAACTGGACTCAAACCACATGGAAAATACTTCTCAGAACCAATAACTGGGATCACATCTTATTAAAATGTTTTTACATGTCAAAAGAAATCTCCAGCATAGTAAAAAAAAACCCACAAACTGGTTAAAAAATCTTAGTGAACTGTCCCCTCAGATAAAAGACAGTCTAAAACATACAAAGAATTAAAAAAGTCAGAGCCCCCAAATTCAAAGATCCAATCCAAAAATGGGCATCTGAGATGAATACACAATTCTTAGATGAAGAATACAAATGGCAAACAGATACATGAAAAAATGTTCATCACCATTAGTCATTAGAGATATGCAAATTAAAACCACACTGAATTTCCATCTCACTCCTGAAAGAACGGCCAGGATCAAGAAAATCAGCAGCAACAAATAGTGGAGAGGCTGTGGTGAAAAAGAACTCTCCTGCACTGTTTGTGGGAATGTAGACTGGTGTACCCATTGTGGAAATCTGTCTGGAGATTTCTCAAAATGCTGGGATTGGAAGTCTCATTTGTTCCAGCTATTCCACTTCTAGGCGTATTCCCAGAAGTACTGAAAGCATCATACCACAGTGATATATGTGCACCCATGTTTATAGCAGCACAACTTGCAATAGCCAGATCTTGGAAACAACCTAAGCATCCATCAACTGAGGAATGTATTAAAATTGTGATATTTTTATACAATGGAGTAGTACTCAGCTATAAAGCAGGATCACATTGAGATATTTATAAATAAATGGGCACAGCTTGAGACCATACTCATAAGTGAAATAAATCAAACCCACATGTATGAATACTGAATAGTTTCCCTAGTGTAAGGAATGATAAAAATACATCAAAATATGTGGTAATCATGATTCCCCATTACATTGCTTTGAAGACTTATAAAGTTTTCATTCATTAATTGTAATGGTTTTATTCTGGGTTGTCTGTGATGGTATGAATAGCTATTTTGGAGAAAACAGGACATCATAATAATTTATGTGCAGATTTAATATCATCTTGTTTTGAAGTCCCATCAAGCTTTTGTTCTTCTGTCCCCAAACATGTTGTATCTTATTGGATTTTATTATATGTGATAGTAGAAACAAAAATTTTATAGACAAGGAGATAATGTAGAAACCATTTTGCATTTTCTGTTAGTTGGGTCTAAATACCCTGTAATACTTTCATTCTCTTGAATGGTTTTACCATTGTCTTGATATGTTTGATGTTACAGTACATGAAGTTATACTCAAATATTTCAAGGAAAAGACACTATGGTATCCACTGTTATTTCACAATATCTTGTGGTGAAACACTGTGTTGCTAAAATTGTTCTGTTCTCACCTGTGCTGTTTTGTTGCTATGTCCTCTTTCATCTCAGTCTCCTTTTTTATTATTTTTTATCTTTTTAATTAAGGGAAAATATAAATTAAAAAATAGCAGGATATATTATAGTAACCCACTTTGTTTTCCTATTAACTTGATTTGAAATCCTGTATTACTCTCATCATCTTGTTTTGACTGATTTTACTCTATTATGTTTTTCTTGATAGTGTCAAGTTTGAGGGTATAAGCAACTACTTTGAAGACAATAAGATTCACTATGATGCCCATTCTGGTTTGACTATTATCTTCTTTTGAAGTCCTAAAATGCCTCCAATGTTTTGGTTTTATTGGGTTTCTTCTTAACTGTTTTGTTCAATTTTATTATAACTGATGATATAGGCAATTCTTTTTAAGATAGCAAGAGGCACTATGGTAAGCAGTGTTGATCACCTTGTGTTCTGTTTTTACATCATGTACTATGTCCATCCTTTTGATTTGACTGACTCTGTTTGTTATGTCACATTTGGTTTTATTCTCTTCAAAAAAAAGTAATAAGAACTGTGGGAGTAATAATAAGTAACTGTGGGAGAGGAAAAGAAAGTGCTCTAAAGAATATAACTGCATGTATATTTAAGTGTGTAAGATAGATAACCATATTACTGAATTTTTGTTGGATCACTGAACAGAACTTTTTGCAGTCTCACTGTTTGAATGTCCACTTTGTATGCTTTAATTTTGTAACTTGAACAACCATTTCTAAGATGACAATGTGTAATATATTAAATAGTGATTTCCTGCTGTTTATTTTTTATGAAATTCTGAATTACTTGTATCCTTTTTCTGTCTCTTTTTCTCCTTAAATAAAATTGTTAAAAAAAACATCATGATACAGCACAGTACTCATCTTTAATTTCCTATTTTCTTAATCTGGACCCCTGTATGACTTATACTGTTTTATCATGACTGATCTTAGTTAAATCTGGTTTGTTTGATTGCTATTTAGTATTGACATATTTTATTCAAAGCTGATATGATTGACAGTATCAAGTCTGAGAATATAGGCAACTACACTGAAGATGACAAGACTCTATGATACACATTCTCGTTTGATAACTGCCTGTTTGTGAAGTTTTATACTACATACAAAGTTGTGTTTTTATTAATACTGTTATATACTGATATATTCAATTATTCTATATCTGATGATATAGCCAATTCTATTGAAGATAACAAGAGACAACACAGGAACAATTGTAGAACTCCTTGTACAGTGGTTTAATATGTCTTTTTGTTTCATGTGTTTATAGGAATATGTTTTGTTTTTTCTTGCTTTGTTTTGTTTCTCCCTCTAATATACAAAGGATAGAAATACATGTTAAGACTCATGCATGTGTAGAATCTATAAGCAGTTTATGAGAACTGATCTTATGACACATGATGAAATGGACAGATACTTTGAAGAAAAAGAGACACTAACGTACCCAGTGCTGATCTTGGAGTGTCATAATGTAAAACCCAGCAATAGTATTATTCTATTCAGAGTGATATTAGCCTGCTTGTGTTTGTTCAATCTAAACATAATTGAAGATATGGATAACTGCATGTATGTTTAAGTTTATAGGACTGATAACCATATTTCTAAGTTTTTGTTGGGTAGTTGAACAGAACTGGTTGCAGTCTCACTGTTTGAATCCCCACTTTATATGCTCCACTTTAGTATCTTGAAAAACTATTTGTAAGAGGACAATCTGTAATCATCAATTAGTGATTTCTTACTGTTTATTTTTTCTTTGAAAGTATGTATTATTTCTACCCATTTTCTGTTTTGTTTATTGTCTCTTTAAATAAAATTTTTTTAAAATGTTGTGTTAGTTACATTTTCAATACACTTGCATTTCAGAAAGAAATAGAATAAAACCTATTTATGATTTAAAGAGTTGGGCAGTGCTTTTAAATTCCAAAGGAGTATACTTAACTATGTCAAAACCAATAACACTATGAATATTAGAACTAAATAGACACTATTGGTTCATTTAAATTCATTTGTTTAGTGTATATTTACTATTATGATCTGAAGCAATGTTATGATCTCAGGAAGTAAACAGTTAAGGAATAATTGCTGCTGTAATTGAGATTTCATTCATAGATATTTCATAATTGTGATAATAAATTAAATACCAAATTTTTATCTTCAACCCTGAAGTGACCACAGGCAGTAGCAGTAGTTCACTGGTTTTTATTTTGTTGTTGTTGTTCTTCATTTGATTTTTTGTATAATCAACTTAGTCAACTACACATAGGACTGAGTTCTGTTATTTTTAACTATGTTTTATATCACCATTATCTGCTATTCATTTTTCCTCTTTTATTTTTTCCATTCATGTTTGGGAAATATTTAGTTAAGACAGAAATAATAATTTAGCTGTTTTACAAGTAAATAAGTGAAATTTCAAAGGTCAGGTGTCATTTATGAGATACTTTTTGGCAAATTACTTAAGAAAAACTTCAAGAGACTCATTAAAATGCAACCCACCCAAAAGAAAGCATACCTTTCAAAATATACTATACATGTTTACTAGCAAGTTTAAAGTATAAAAAAGTGGAGTGAATAAACTGCCCCTAGTGATCAACAACTAGATTTGAAATTTAAACACATAATAAATGCTTTCATATTTACTAAATCACAAATGTTGCATTTGCCTGTATTATAACAAAACTATTGATGGCACATGGGATATGACCCTTATGTATTAAACCAGTGATGGCTACAGTCTTAAATTTCCAGTGATAGGCTGCATCACTCGATGCAAGTCACAGATTTACTTCTACTGTATTTCAAACTACTTACAAAGTCAACATAACAGCAATTTAAAATGTTCATTATGTTTCTAGGCATTAACAGTTTTCTTGTGAATCCTTGTAATAGTTTCTAAATCTCTGCATAGCACTTTTCATCTCCTTATTTCTTAGAGTATAAATAATTGGATTTAGCAGGGGAGTAAAAATAGAGTAAAAGACAGCAAGAAATTTGTCAAACCATGTGATGTTTAGTGGCCACACATAAATGAAGATACAGGGCACAAAGAAGATGACCACCACTGTGATGTGGGCAGTGCAGGTGGACAGTGCCTTGAAAGCACCTGTTTTAGAACTTTGGAAGACAGTGAGAAGAATGTATGGGTAGGAGATCAGCACAAGAATAAAGCAGGTTACAGCCACAATTCCACTGTCAGCATTCATTAACGCTCCCATGTCAGAAGAATCCATGCAGGCTAATTTAATTACCAGTGGTATATCACAGAAAAAGCTGTCTATTTTCCTTGGTCCACAGAATGACAGCTGCACAATCACAACCATTTGACTAATACCATGCAGAAAGCCAGCTGTCCACGCAGTCACTACAAGTCCAATGCATCTGTGCAGGCTCATGAGGATGGAATAGTGCAGTGGCTTGCAGATGGCCACATAGCGGTCATAGGCCATTACCACTAGCAGCACCATCTCGCTCCCTGCAATGAAATGGACAAAGAGAATCTGGCACATGCATCCTCCAAAGGAAATGGTCTTGTCCTCCCTGAAAAAGTCTGTGATCATCTTGGGAGTTGTCACTGAGGAAAGCCACATATCAAAAAAGGACAAGTTGACCAAAAAGAAGTACATGGGGGAATGAAGATGAGGGTCAACAATAATTATGATCAAGATGATAGCATTTCCAAACAAAATGACCAGATAAAAAGTCAGAAATACGATGAAGAGTAAAATCTGTATATTCCATGAGTGGCAAAGTCCAAGAAGCTCAAATTCTGACACTGTAGATTGATTTCCTCCATCCATTATTTGAAGTGTGTTCTTTTAATTAATCTGGAAGTTATAGATTACCAGTTAGTGAGATGAGGAAGGGGACTTAAGTTTTGGAATTTGATATTCACTCTGACATGTAGCATCTATATCTGTAATTGAACTGCAAGTTTTGATAGGAAATATTGGTAAGATATACAAGAAGTTCTGGCCAAGGTAGAAGCTAAAGTCTATGAATGGCTTTTTTCTGGAACCAGTCTGAGATGGAATTCTTATCTCAGTGATTTATTGAGAGACCATTCTCAGAAAATAGTAGTCAGAAAAGCACGGAAGACAAAAGAAAGACTTAGAAGATGATTGCTGTTTTGTCCTGTATTCCAGTAGAAAGAACTAACAATAATCAGGCCAACTACGAATATGATAGTTAAATGATACTGCAATACAGTAGCATTGATATAATACAACATGACAATTTCACTTTATTGTATGTAATGACTACCTCAAGCCTCAGTTGAACCTGTTTAGCTAGAAATTATAAGTTAAATTTTTGTATTTCCTCTCTAAAATATACTTATATATTGGGACAACCTTTGAGAGAAGTTGTATGAATGAAAATATAGAGTTATCGTGGCATGATTATTTAGAGGTAAATCAGATACATAAATAATTATTAAGTAAAATTTAAAATCTAATGGGATTCAGTTAGTATGCCAATTAGAGTGAAAACACATCGGGGTATAGAGTCTATAGACAGGGATAAACTGAAGATGTGTGTGATTGTGACTCAGACTCTGAGTCCTTCAATTCTGAATGGAATTTTTTAGTTAAAGCTTTTTAATAATACACATTTACAGTCAAATTATGACTGAATTTTAAGAAAATTTTAGTGTTTCACATAGGACAGTCTTCCAACCATTAGTGATACAAATGTATTGTGCCATTTTATTCTGTTTTCTGAGATAAAAGATGACATATTCTTGTAAGCAAAATATGTCTGATTATTGGAATCAACTGATGGGATGTTCAACATTCCAGGATTATGAGTAGCTCATCTCTAAATATAACAGTAATACTGCTTACCTTGGTTCTTATGTAAGCTGAAAATATTTCTCAAGATATATACTCAAAATATATTGTCTATTTCTTTCCCTCATTTCTACATTATTTTGAGCTAAGCATTGAATAAGTTTTTAAATACTTTTTGGTGGTGTTCCACTTTTGTTTTCTTTACTTTCTTTTGTTTGTTTTGGACAGTATTTATATTTTTGGTGTGCCAAAAAGAGTAGGAGAAAATGAAAATTTTTACATGGTGAACACTGGATTTAGTTTCCTTTGTAGAGATTTATAGTAATGATGCAAATACAGTTTTCCTAAATACATTACTAAGTACACATATATTTACTGAGAAAAGGAAAATATATCATAATAAGTAAATATCATACATTTATTCAATTTCTAAAGAAAACATTCTGATTTGCAAGCACTGGCAAATTTGAGCAATCTGACATTTATCTTTAATCTTAATTTCTTATCAGTATAACCTTTTCCTGGATAATGTTTACACAGCCAGCTATGTATATTTGGTAGAAAAATCATTGAGAAAGAATATGATCAATGATGATTGTACAGATTTATGTGGTATAATGTACCAAAAATCATCCTACATTCTAAATAAAAATTGATATTCTTAATATTTCATAATGCTCATAAATTATAATCAATTTTTAGGGAATTTGTAGATACCTGTAATCATAGACTTGATTTAGTCAGACCTGGTCTGGTATCTATTTCCATCCTTTCTTGATCGATGACATTAAACTTAAGATAGTTCTGTTTTCATGTTTTTAATAGTTTCATCCTTTGCTCTACCTTTCCATGGAGAGGTTATTAGTGCTTTTATAAGAGGACTTGTAAGAAAAAAAAGAGAATTCCGTTGGAATTCTTACCTGTAACAAAGTATAAATTCTCCAACAACAGGTAAATGCCAACTCAGAGAATGATAAAATGAAAAATTAAATAAAGTGGTATATTTGGCATTATTCTATGAAAATAAATCACACATTTTCATACTTTTATCAGTATAATGTACTTCCAAAAAGATATTTTATAGGATAATAATCACATAACTAGAATACTGTCAGTATTTGTATATTGACAGTGAGAAATTTGGAGCCAGATTATTTTTAACATTGACTAAAGTACACAGTAAGAAAATCCTAGTTATTTACCCTAGCCCCTGCTAATTCCTTTTATCTTCACTTGTGAGTTTTATTTTTCATAAAATTATCAAGCATTAAATGTAAAAAATATTTTAACTTCCATCTATGCTTAAAACAATCTTACTTTTATTTTAGTGCATATTTCCAATTAAAAGACACCAGTTTTTTTCTGAAACAGGAGGGAGTATTTGAACAAGCATAGTCTTGAAGATGATGATATTGAATAGGTATGAGAAAAGTGATCTCTCTATGCAGCCCTAAGTACTTCTGTGAAAAATGATAGTATGGTGGTGTGGGCACTGTTCTTAACAAGTCCTCAGAAATTCCAGTAGGAATAGAAGCATTATAGAGCAATAAATTATAAATTGTCTATTAAAAATGTAAGATGATAAAGAAACCATTCTAAAGTCCAAGATTAATAGACATCCTTAAAATATAATTTGAAGTCTTTTAGGAATGATTGTGAAAAAATATCAGAAAGATGAGATGACTTACCAGACACATTTTTTCCTTAGGATTATTTCTTAGTTTTCTCTTCTGCTATGTAGTTGAGATAATATTTATTGTTGGTAGAGAGAAACATCTTTGCATTCTTGTATCTTAGTCTGAAATATATCCACCATCATAAAAATCCCTTGGGTGACAGTACCTATTGTATGTTTAGAACAGAATAATCATCATGGAAATAATTTACTTTGGATGTCAGTGGAGAATTCTTCATTATGATTCATATCAACTGTTGTATACCCTGGAAATTAGAATAAGGAGACAAGCCCTCTCATAAATAATTTGGATAGTGTTAAAAGTTACTGCCTTTTTATGAATTGGCATTACACTTATGTTGTTAAAGAAACACAGTTACCTGTGTAGAACACCTGTTCTTTCTCATATGTGGAAGATGAAAATTCAACCTGAAATTATAAAAGTGATTAATAGTAGACTACAAGACTGTGTAGGGTGGGTAAAGGAAAATTGTATTTGATCTGAGCTAACTGTATCCATGTATGAAGATTCTACACTGTCTTATTAATATGTAATATAAATTATATTAATAAGAACTGAAAATAACATGATTTTTATTAATTAAGTTTATTGGTAAACTTCAGGTATACGTTATGAGCACATTCATTATAGGAAATTTGTTCTGTACATGATGATAACATATTAATTGATATAATACATAATTGATATAAAACATATATTATTTGTATAATGCATACAGAGCCTCCAAGAATTTGGTTTCATTATTTCTACTATTTTGGAAGTAGTAGAGAATGTAATGATGTGATTAAGGGTGACTCTTTCCTCTTGTTTCTTCTTTTATTCCACATTTACCTCCTTTGCTTCCCCTCCTCTTCCTTCTCTTCCTCTTCTTCCTCTTTTCTAGCTTGCTCTTATTCTTTTTGTTTTCAAGTTTGTGCTTATTAATTTTTGTTGGTAAAAACATTTAACTTGAGCTATACCTTCTTGACAAATGTTTAAGTGGACAATAGAATATTGTTAATTAAAGGCACCATGCTGTGTTTCAGATCTCTAGAACTTACTTATGTTTCTCAACAGAGCCTGTATACTAGTTGTCAGGGTTTAGATCTAAGATGTTCCCAAAAGTCTCCTGTGTTCACAGGTGGAACATTTTGAAGCTGACTGGATCATGGACACACTGTACTTATCAGTGGATGGATCTTGTGATGAATTTATAGTTAATTGTGCTATTAGAAAGAAGGGCCTGGTTGCAAGATGTGTGCTGCTGAGGTTTATATCTTTGAGCCTATATTCCTTCCTCGATCCCTCCATTTTAGCTTTGCTTTCTGAATGCCTTCAGGTGAAAGGCTTTTCTCCACTCTCCTTTTCCTGCCTCACATTTCTGCCTTGGACCCAGTTGACTATGGACTTAATCCCACAAAACAATAAACCAATTGAAAATTCTCCTTTATGTTGCAAGTATTGGTTATTTTGTTCTAGCAATGGAAAAACTTACAATTCTACTGTATGAAGAGCATGTCCTCATATTCCTATCTTTTACCATCTAGCTACAATCATAAACTATTCTAGTATTTACACATTTCATATAAATGCTTATTGCAGTGTTTGTTACTGTCCTGCTGCCTTGATGTATGTAATATGATGTCTGACTTTGTGTTATATCTTCCACTCCAGTTTAGATGTCTTCATGTGTTGATATTTTGGCATAGTGAAACCATTCCCTCCCCTTAAATATGAATATTTTTGTGTGTATTGTGCATTCTTTACATACCCATCCATTCATGAACATTTAGATGTTTTTGTATCTTCCTGTTATGATTGATATTGAAAGGTAATGAGCATATAGATATTTCCTTGAGATACTGATTTAGTTTCTGTTAGATTTCTAATCAGATTTGATATGGAATCATATTGTAACTCTATTTTTAAATTTTAAAGAAAATTCAGCTCTACCAGTTTATATTCCCTTAACTATATCTGAAGGCATATTTTTCTAGACAACTCGTCAACATTTATTGAATCTGGAATTCAGAAAACTGTAATAGATCTTCTAGCAGGTGTAAAATAACTTTCATTGTGGTTTTTATTTGCTTTTCCTTCATGTATAGTAATGTTGATCACATAATCAAACACACAGATACTTACATGCCTTTTTTGTGAAAAATGTAGTCATTGTGTTGCTTGTTTTCTTTGCAATACAGAAACTTTTCACTTTTTTAAAGTTCCACACTTTTATTTTTGTTTTTGTTGATTCTTCTTACAGTATGAGATCAAAATATACATTACCAAAGCCAATGTCAATGGAATCTTCTCTACTTTTTGCTGGTACTTTTATTT